AAGGCCCTTCAAAATACATTTAAGGTAAACTTAATCCTTTCTTTACCTAAAATAAGATTAGGCCAAAACTGGCCCAAGACACCTCCGCCCTCTCCAACTGAAATAGATAAATATATTAAGATTCCTCAAATTGAGTTTTAAATCCCTACAAAACTGTATAAGTATCATTCTTTATTAAGATCCATACAAACTAATTTCTATTCTTGAGATTTTCTTTTCTCAGCACCATTCCCAGTAATCACAAGGTGGCTGCTGCACCACATCAGCTGATAATCATCTCTGCTTACCAGAACCGCTTTCCCGAAACTGCATTCCATGGAGACCCACCTACAATTGCGGAACTGCACTAGACCCACCCTTAATCCACCCCTAAATAGGAATTGCACTAGACCCACCTTTAATCCACCCCTGAATAAAATCTATGTTCTTTATTGTTAAAAGACTTTATGAGCTAATAATTAAAACTCATAGCCCCTCTCCCATTTACTTGTAGGTAACACATTTTCAATAAAAACGCACAATAATTCCTAGCAGTTGTCACTCCTCAGAGAGCGATCTCTGAGGGGTGTCCGGCATAAGACGTGCATAAAAGGCATCGAGGCCTCTGTCTTCTGTTCACCTTCGCCGCCTTTGTCGAGATAACCCACCCACGCCGAGGCTGGACCCCTGCAGCTAGCCGCGTCCATGTAGAAGTGGCTTCTAGGAACGCTCCCACCTATCGGCCAATGAACTCGGCGAGGTGACGCAGACGCACAGGACCAGAGATGGTACTGGCCGATGGAAAAGAAAGAACCTTTGACACGAAGAGACACAGAAGCTGGTCTGCGGAGTATCTGCCAAAGGTTACAGCCGTGGACACCTAAAGGCAGCAGAGGGAAGGAGGCGGGATGGTGAAAGCAGGTAACACTCCTCTGTACTCTGTAGCAACCCTGCCCCCTCCAAGAGACAGTAAGGCCTAAATGCTTTTCTTTCTTTTTTTAAAGCAGTAAGATAGGAAAATAAGAATGATTCCAGAAAAAAGAAAGGGGCTGGCCTCATAGCACAGTGGCAAAGTGCTGTACTGGGAGCCAGATCCCATTTGAATGATCACGGTTCGAATCCCGGCCCTGGTATCTCAACAGACTTGCTGGGGACAGGTGCACGTGTGTATTTCAGAACCTTGCCAGAGCGAGGAGTGGACAACAAAGGGGTGTGATGTGACAGCCACTGGGGTCACACTCTGTGAGCAGACACACCCTGGAAATGAAAACAAACAATGTAATAAACATGAGAGAGGGTCAAGGCAGCCAAGTCCTAACACTTCCTTATGTCAGTCAGGCTGACGTGACCCAGACGTGGCTTACAAGAGAATGTGAGCGATGAACACACCTGAAAAGGCCCCGGGTCCAGAGCGCTAATGGGCCCCGTCTCCCGGCACGTCCCGGACAGGGAACACCTCGTTATTTTTAGGTTTTGCCGTGGTGTGTGTGTACTTGCTGGAGAGGGACAGAGAGGGAAAGTGAGAAATCGTCCCCGGGAGATGACCATGCACCATCCCCTCGCCTCATGTCTCAGGATTTTGGGCATGCACACATGCCCGGTGTCATTTTCAAGCCGCTGGATCCAGGACTTGACCCATGCAGTTGGTCATGTGGGATTTAACACCTTACCCTCCACTCCAACTGCTGGCCCCATGTGTTCATTTTTAACCTGCCTCGTCCAGTGGAAGGTCCATGAGAGAAGGAGCCTTGCCTGTTCCTCCCCGCCCCCCACCAGCACCTAACAGTGCCAGGGACACCCTTGATCCCCCAGGAAGAGACGGAGGAGACGGGGCTGCCGAGTGGCCATCCCCCCAGGGACTGATTTCTCACTTTCCCTCTCCCTCCCTCCCTCTCTGGCACGTGCCCTACCTATGGCAAAAATCTTTAAAAATTTTTTGCTGAAAAAATTCATGGGTGAAGAATAAAACCAGGACTTTGAAACCACAGCCACCTCTGGTGGTACTGCAAACACGTACCTCTGCTGACGGTGCGTACGAGTGTTGCTGGCCACTGCACCTCGTTCTTGGAGTGAGCCTCCCACGATGGACTCAGAGAAGCGCGGTCCTCACCACCGCCCTCACTCCCACTGTGCCTTATACGGTGTTTCTCGGTGTCTACACCACGGTGGGGGACGCTGGCCGGCCGGCTGGAGACACAAGCTTTGTCTAGGATCTGAGCCATCGGAGGTCCGCCCTCACGCGCGGCGACAGCCCATTCATTTTTAGTATTGGACACAGAAGTATTAAGAGGCACTCCGGAAAACCCTCCAGGTCCCCGGCACCATCCTCCCGGCCCGAACATGGCAGCTAGTCAATTCCTCCTCATAATCAGGATCAATCCTCTCCGGCCATTGGTACGAAGAGCAGAGGGCAGGGCAGCAGCCATGACCCTCAGGGAGCCAAGATTCTGAGAACCTGCCCAGAGGTGGTGAAGGGGTGCTCTCACCCCCAGTTCTCAACTCCCATGCCCATGTGATCTGGCTGCAGAAGTGGTCGGGATTCTAAGCCTATACTGAGCCTGGAGCATGCCCCCCCACCTGTGGTGGAAATCAGCCTTCAGGACTTTGGCCACTGCTTCCTGGGTAACAGGTGAGATGGCTGAGCCCCACGGCCACATGGCCACACGGCCTCTGCTGTGGAGTGTGCTTTGCTCAGGAGCAATGCTGGGAGGCCTGGCGATGGCCACGGTGTGCCCTGAGCCCACTTCGGTAGCGCTGGCAGGAACGCTGCAGGCAGGGCAGGCCACCCTCCTAATGTAGTCGCCTTTCCAGGGAGGACGAGGCAACAGCGGCTGTCAGACGGCCCCTGGTTCCGGGGACCGGGTCTCAGCTGGACACTTCAGGAGCAGAGGCTGGAGCCCGACCTCGTGAGGGGTGTCCAAAACATGCACTGTGAGCAGCTTCCACCCTCACAGCTATGGTGGCTTTGCTCGAGGGCCACTGAGCAATACTAAAGTGGCTGCAGGAGGCTATCACTCACCAGCATGGGTCGCTGTCCGCCTGGCTGAGGGGACAGGTTTTGGTGTACACACCCTCTGCACTGACATGGTGCACAAGGATCTTCATCGCACATTTCACGAAGCCCCTCCAGGTATCTAGCCATCTACCTGGTCATCAGCCACTGCCTACGCACAGCATAGACCGTGTTGCTCGGCGGCTGGTCTAGACCAGGTGCGACCCTGTGCTCTACCCGTCGCCCGTTCTAAGCCATCATGGTGGTGTGCTCCTCCAGGTGGGTGCCGTGTCGCCTCTCGTACACACCTTAGCTCCCTCTGCCGTTCCTCGTGCCCAGGCCTGGCTAATTCCCGCCTCCCACCAAGCCCGGCCTGCAGCTAGAGAGACGCAGTGGTGCCCTCAGGTTTCCTGTGACATTCACGACTCAGCCCACAACCCTGCCACCTACCAATTCGGAACTTCATTTTCCTGGAAGGCTATCTCACCAAACTTCTGACACTCTTCCCTCCTCAGCTGATAACCCTAACCCTCCGTCACAGAGAAACGAGACCCATCAGAGGGGAGCTCCACATCCACTACCACGCGGGCAGGCCTTCCAGACCCCCACGCGGCACCCGGTGACCACTCACCTCCTTCCCTTCTCAGAGGGGTCTTCGCACTTAACTACGGCACAGCAGTCTCAACTGCTGACACCCTTAACTGCTCACCTGAACCCCTTCACTGCTCACACCTGTGCGATTTCACAGACGTCTGTCCCCTAGCCTCCCACACTGTCACTTGAGTTCAGGTCTGGGGACCAGGGGTTCTGTTTCGTGCCCAGGAACAAGAAACCTGGGAAGTGTTTAGCACTAATAAGCACTAACCAGGGAATCACAGCATCCAGACGAGAGCTTGCTTTCTTTAGTTTGCCATAGGCACACGCACCAGCCAGAGAGACGGGAGAAAGCGAGGACTCTCCCAGGGGATGGCCACACCACAGTCGTTGCTTCCATTCTCCTCAGGGTTTGGGACATGCACTCACTGCCTGGGGTGCTTTTCAAGCTGCTGGGTCTGGGACTTGAACTGCACACCTAGCCATGTGGGATCCAGCTGCCTTACCCTGCATGCTACCGGCTGGCCCAAAACATCTTTGTTTTTCTTAAAGTAGAAGTATTATACTTTTAGTTGTGAGAGTCCAGTACCGAGTCGCCCTCAAGGGTACTGCAGTCTCATGTTCAGTAAGACCCTCTCTTGCTGCGGGCCTCAAGTCTCCATGTCACAGGGACAAGTGTAGTGGGGGGTGTAAGAGTAGGCGGTGGGCGGGACATTTCGCTTTTACTATCAGTTTTGTCACTAATTAGTAAGTAAGTCATCTAGGGTGAGTCATTTAACCGCTCATTTCCATCAGGGAATCTGAGAGAGTGCTTTTATTTTTATCCAAAGAAAAGAGATTCATGAAACCCCAAACCAGTGAAAACCATTCGCCACATACACTAAGAACCCTTTTCCTTCTGAGTTCGCTGATGGGGTTTTCAGTGTACAGTGGAGAATGCCATCCGAGTGGATCGTTACAACTGTTAAGCACAAAAGCATTTAGTGAGAGCGATTTCTTGATCAGAAAAGCAAATCCCCCTGGGGCTGGCCCATAGCGCAGCAGTTAGACACACTGCGTGGGCAGCCAGACCCCACGTGCCAACTGCACTTTGAATTCTGGCTGTGGCGCCTTGAAAAGCATCCATGCACTTCTGTGTGTGTGCCCCAAATCGTGGCAAAATGGGGACACAGAGGAACTGCGGTGTGACTGCATTGTCGAAGGTGCTTTCTCTCTGTCTCACTCTGGCGAGCACATGTACCTCTGGCAATTACCGAAAT